CAGCTGGATTTAACGCCGTTACATCATGTTAAATCATGTTAAATCGCCGTTAAATACATGTAGTATTCTACTAGAATAATATATTATACTGATTAATACAGCAGCAAGCAAATCTGATCTGACAGTGGGTGGAAATTTTCAGGGTCCCATTACTTCCATTGTAGTGAAGAAACAATACTGAAGGTCCCATGATGTTCTTAGCCCCAAATCAAAGAACAGGTTGTGTTCACCTGCCTTGCAGTGCAGTGATTTGGCAGTTTACCCTGCCAGTAATTAACATATGCTCTATTGACATGCAGAGATTTTGAACCTGTGCTTTGCATGTTTTGGAAAAATCCTATACATTTCAGATGAGGAAACAATACCGTCTTTGCATAGGGAGGTTGTCATTCTGAGTTTGTAAAGCTGGAAGACATAGCTAACTTCTGTTTTTTGTTTCTTGTAGCTCCAGAGTCCCTTACTGACAGGGACTGACCTCTTGGATATATGTTTGGATATTTGCAAAGGCTGCGTCTATTTAGAGAAAATGCATTTTATACACAGGTACAGAACTTATTTCCTTAGTCTTCCAAGGTTTAGCCACAATATTGGGACTAATTTTCTCACCTGGGAAAAAATACCTAGAAAGATGACACAGTGTAAAAGAAGGTGAGAGTACTGGAGTAAAATTTAATGTTATGCTTTTCTGCTAAAAATCACTCACAGTTCTCTCACAAAATGGTAGGCTACTCTAAGATTTGAATCCAGGACTCATTGCACCCTAGGCAAGAATCATATCCTGTGAAACAAGGACAAGGGCAGGTGGGGAGACCCATTTACTGTCTTCATTTGCCTAATGGGTAGCTATAGAGGACACAGAGCCAGATTTTTCTCAGAGGTGCACAGGGAAAAAATGAGAAGCAACAGGCACAAACTGCAGCAAAGGAAATTAGATAATATTACTCACAATGCGCAGGATCAATCACTGGAACAGGTTGTCCAGAGGGGCTGTATCATCTCCAGTCTTGAAGACATGCAAAACTTAACTGGATGAGGCCCTAAGCCACTTGATCTGACCTCAAGGTTGGCACTGATCTGAAGAGAGGCTTGAACCAGAGGTCCCTTCTGAGATGAGTTATTCTGCAATGCTAACTCCATCCTCTTGTTTCTGTCTTACAAATCAGGGACCTGGCTGCTCGCAACTGCCTTGTGTCTGAGAAGGAATATGACAGCTCCTCCCGGCTAGTAAAGATTGGTGATTTTGGGCTTGCCAGAGATATCTATAAAAATGATTATTACAGGAAAAGAGGAGAAGGCCTACTCCCTGTCAGATGGATGGCTCCTGAAAGCCTCATTGACGGTGTCTTTACAAATTGCTCTGATGTCTGGTGAGTTGTAACAGCCATAGAGCTGTGGAAATAATTGTATTAAATCCCACAGCAAGAAAATATTGGTTTACAGAAGGAATAATAAGGTTGCATATTGCCATCTCTAATAATTTTTAGGCTAAGGCAGATTTCTTCTTAAGTGATATTTTAATGAGTTAATGAAAAGTTTGGCACCATGACAGTACCTGCATAGATATATTTCTTAATGCTTTGAGCTCTAGCTCTGGATTCTGGCTGGAAAGAACTAGTGTCACTCAATCAAACAATTTTGTACTAGGCCCACAGTGTGGCGTTTACTTGATTGGGCAGTGAATTGACTGCATGCATGCTGTTCTGGTTTGTTTTCCATTAGGTTAATTGGCATTTCCTTCCTACAGCCAAATACTTTCCCCTTCCTGTTTCACCCTATTCTGGTGACTTCTTTATTTTGAAGCCCATATTTCTTAGCATCATCAGGGGAAGGTCATAGTAATTTGCTGTGGGGGTTTACTTAAAGTGTGTATTTCGGTGAAGAAGCAGAGACCCACTGTCAAGACGAATGGAAAAAATCAAATGAAACCAGATTCATTAAACCTGAGATTCACACAAGTTTAGATTTCGATAGCCATAGGTACTCATGGTGGGCTGTAGCCCACCAATCTTGTCCAAGTCCTCAGCCCCTGCAGCCCATCCGTTTGACTGTCACTCTTACATTTATCTAAGCAATTTGTTTAGTGCTCTGTGCCAAACCAAATGAGGTGCTGATTGCTTTATGAGTGGTGCTTAGGAGAACTTGTCTCTCTCTATTTCCAACGACACCTCTAGAGATTTCTAAACACTTGTTTAAGTGAGGACATGCTCAACCAGAAAGAGTTGCCCAGGGAAGCTGTGGGCACTCTATGTTTTCTAAGCTGCATATCAGTGAGCTTGGGAAAGTGTGTCAGTTCCACACACTTCTTTTAGCTATTCCAGAGGCTGGCTTAAGGACATATGAATTGTTTCACAAAAAATCAAAACTTCTTACTGCTAATTTTTCTTATTCTTAGGTTAGAGACATTTTAACTGTTGATAGGGAGATTGTTCATGACGACTATGGTAATTAAATTTTTGTTGGTGTTTCTTAGGGCTTTTGGAGTCTTAGTGTGGGAAACATTAACTTTGGGTCAACAACCATATCCAGGTCTCTCCAATACAGAAGTTTTACACCATGTACGATCAGGAGGAAGGCTGGAATCTCCAAACAATTGTCCTGATGACCTGTAAGTTAATTTTGTTTAAATGTTGTTGATACCATTTATAAGAAGCAAGAGGTTTATTGCCATGTGACCATCATTTTGAATGTTACTTATACCCATGCAGAGTTCAACGTCCTCCATTTTATTTCAGATAAAACAGCTAGCACTTTTAGCTGCCAACCCACTACTAGTTCATCCAGTAGTGCAGCCTGTAAGTAAGAACTTAAGTGTTGAAACTTAATGGTGGATATTGGTCTTTTAAACAGGATTTCAGAGACAATATAAAGTCAGTCTTGGGCATGAATCTGATAGTAATGTGGTAACAGGCAGAGTGTGCCTAATGGTATTGGTTAAAAGTTAAGATGGCTTTAAGAAATAATTTACTGGTCCCTGTACAACATGTGCCTGTGATAGCAGATATAACTGGCTTTCTCAATGGTAGCTACAGGAATTAGGTTAATATTAGAATATATGTAGAAAATAAACTGTGTTCTCTTTGCAGATATAACTCCTTCAAAAGTCAGTAAGAAAAGTTGAAGCAGTACAGCAAAAGGGAACTCTGCACTTCTGGTTAGTCTTTAGCTTAGCTGGATAAACAAAGCTTTCAATTTCCATTTGTCTCTTGAGCACAGAATTCATGTTTAACTGCAAAATTCTTGCAATTAAAAGAACAAAATTAATACAAACAGTGGATCAAACCCATACTGGCCAGAGGTGTATAAAGCAGGAAGTTGCACCTAAGCCCAACAGTCACTCAGTGTTGTCTAATTTCATGCCTCAATTTCTATATCACCCACTCTGTATAAGGAGTCACAGAAATGCACTTGACAGCTGGTCCTAGAAATGGAAGGAGAGGCTACTTGAAGTGCAGAATTCTTACTCTTGGCTTGAGAATAATTCTGTGATTGGCAAGCCCAGATCTCTGTGATAGGTCTCACATCAATTACCATGCTCTGAGTTCCAGAGAGGGTGATTATTTATCATTATGTAGGTATAGCTGAAACACCATATTAACAATAAAGTAAGCTTTAGCACTTGGAGGAACTGAAGAACTGAAGAGATTAGGATTTTGTTTTAAGAACAGAGTGAAAACTGAGTCATAGGACAAATGAGAGCCTAAAGCAATTGCAGTTTTAATATTTTCTGCTGAATAAGGTTTCCTCAAAAAATTCTCACAGCTGTCTTGTGAATAAAAAAGCATAGGAGGTAATGTATATCCATGTACTAATTTGATATTCAAGCTCACACAAAGGTTCATAAGTTGCCTTTAAAACAAGTGACCAGATCTTCAGAAGGAAAAACAAATCTTTGCTTGAAGTAATTTTTAAGGTCCCAGACTTTAAATTTAGCATAGCAGGTACGGCTTAAAGCTGGTCTGCCTGTTGTAACTTGTAGGATCAGGGCCTAATAGCTGTAACCTAGTTTTTGAAAGCCAAAGGGCTGAATGAGCTCTTAGACTCTTGTACCATCTTTTATCTCATTTGGTGAACACTCAGCACCTGCATGCAGCTTCTGTCAGTAACATAAATACTTTTTGCTACTTTGCTAGTTCATTAATGGCATACTGGGATTCTTGACATTCCTACTTCCCTCCTTGTGGTTTTGAACCTGCATCAGGACATCAGCAGTCAGTAATTGTCTCCTCTGCACTTTGGCTTGCTCATTGTCATTTGACAAAACAAACCATCACTGATAGGAAGAGAGTTCAAAGGCCAAACTACTTCAGCTGAGAAGTGTTTAGGAATCTGTGGTAGGCTTACACTGCAAGGGTAAGTAGGGATGACATAAAATTTGCGGTGTAAAAGCACTAAAGAAGTGGGATTGGGTTTTTTTTTTTGGCAGGTGGGAGAAATTCTCCCCCTCACATCCACAGGATGTTACTCCAGGGAATAATCATCTGCTTTCCCCTAAAGAAGTGTGGATAGGTAAAGCTTGGTAGTGAATTGTAAAAGGGACTTGGGGATCTATAAATAAGCCACATTTATTGAAATATGAATTAGATGTATGAGTGGCACTACTTTTGCAGTCAGAGATCCACATCTGGCACAGCCACCTAGGTGCAAGAGCAAGCCAAAGTTTGGACCGAACTGAGCTAATTTAACATAGATCCTCAAAGGCTGTGGATTACAGTCAGGAGAATTTGTACAAACACAGGGCCTCTTGCTGACTTGAAGCTGCAGTTTCACCAAATGCTCACTCCCATGCAAAGTTACACAACTGAGTTTGATGAAGAAACTTTAATTTGGTAACTAAAAGCTTTTGTTTTTGCTATCTGGGAACATCCCCCTGGAGGGATTTGGAGGGTGGAAGGGAAGAAGGGCTTGCTCAGAATGCATCAGATGAAAGTAGGGGCTCTTCTTCATCCCAAGAAATTTTCTCCTTTTCTAGGAAAATCCCCATATCAATTATATTTTCCATCTCATCTGAGAGAAAATTGGTAATGTCCTGTAGCCTCTGTGCACTAAAGCACATTTCAGGAATTGTTCTCTTTCAGCCTCCAATATTAGATACTGAATATTAGTTCTTTGGTTTTCCAGGCTCTTGAGTTCTTATTTACCCCACATATGCAGCTGTATTTGACATATGGTTACCAGTTGTCCCACCTAGATAAAACAGAGTTGTGAAGTGTAGGTGTGTAGATGTCCAGGATGGTTCTTGAACCTACATATAAACCTTTAGCTGATCTTGTGTTTGGATCTGTTATTTTTCATTTCTTCCTGAAAGGCTTTCCCCATGAAGTAGGGGAATCCTCTGAGTTTTTTCCTCATACTGAAGTGATGCATGATTTGCTAGCCCATGTTTGGCTCCCCAAAAAACATAAAAATGTGTTCAAGCTGTCATTCATGTACAACTTGGCATATTAACCTGGCTTTCACCCTCTTGACTGGTGCATTTCTGGGCTAGTGAAAGTTTATGCCATGTGTCGTAACATGCCTTGAAGGCTAAATATCATGCCACAAATAGCTGTCCATGCAAAATTTGCAGATATATTCTGAGACAGCATGGAAGTTTTTGTCATGAGAAACCTAAAGCCTATCTGAATAAAATACTTTGTGAAAAATATCAGTTCTATCTGGTATTAATATTTTAAGCCAACCATCAAGTAACTTGATTTAGGAAATAAGAATACAGGATATAATTAAAATGAGAAAATTCCATTTCTGAATATTTTGCCAGCAACTAATATCCCCACTCAATAACAAAACTGAACAAAGCAGATTGTCCAATAAAAAATTAGTTATTTAGAATGACAGAGATTGGTCTTAGGAATATAAAAATATTCAGAATCCACATTTGTCATGTTCTTGTTTCATAAATAAAAAGAGGGTAGATTTAGATTGTATGTAAGGAAGAAATTTTTTACAATGAGGGTAGTGAGACACCTGGGAACAGGTTGCCCAGAGAAGTTGTGGATGCCTCATCTCTGGAAGTGTTCAAAGTCAGGTTGGATAGTGCTTTGAGCAACCTAATGTAGTGAAAGATGTCCCTGTCCATGACGGGGGCATTGGACTAGACGATTTTTGAAGGTCCTTTCCAACCCAAACTACTCTATGACTCTATGACTTATGTATCATTTCCTGCTTCTTTCTCCCTCTGCTCACCTATGGTTGTCTGTTTCTTCCTTTCCGTAGAGGAGCAGTGTACTCAGTCAGCTCTTTTATTTCATTGCTACATCTTGCACAAGGCTTTGCTCATAAGAGCCCAAGTGCTAACCTACCAGAACACAGCACCTGAACTCATGTTTTTTCGTTGGATATCCTACCAACCAGCATGACCAGAAAGCAGATTGTTTGGTTTCCAGCATCTGATGCTGGCTTTCAAACTCAATGTGACAGACACTTTGCTGGCAGCGCAAGGAAAACCAGTTATTTCACCTCATTTTGATCCTATTCAGTACTTTTGCATCTATATTTCTAGTGTCATCAATAACCACTACACCTGAAAGTAAGCAGATGAAGTGACATTAGGAAGTCAGTACCATTTTTTAGATTCTTAAAATGGATTTTCAAAATTTCATTGGATCCTTTTGAAAAAACAGAATCACTCTGTCCAGCTCCACAACCACACGGTACAGGTTGATAAAAAGTGGTTCTGAAACAATTTTTCTACTCATGTTTCTCACCCAATGACAATAGTTTAACAAAAAATATCATTGAAAAATCAGATTTCTGCCACCTGTCACCAAGGGTTTTATAAAATACCCAATTGTGGTGAAGGACAGCAGTCTCCTTTTTAAGATGGAGAAGTGAGGATCTGAGAAAGCCAATTCATTTCACATAACTCAGTAACGCCTGGTATCACGTAGCAGCAGGTCTGGGAGGCTATTTGTCAGGGGAGGATTTGAACTTAGGGCTTAGAGGTGAATACTCCAAATTCCAGTAGCAGCTTCCCGAAGATGCCTTTCACTGGCTACTCAAACTCTGCTCTCCGGTTTTGAGACTCTAAGACCTCTCTCCACTCCCAACACTTAGCATGTCCAGGTGCTGGCTGTGTTTTGGTTTTCAGCCTGGCTCCCCCTGGCTTTTGTGGGATTTGGTTTTGTGTAGCCTGGACTCACCTTGGGTAAGCAATATAAATCAGCCCTATCCTTTAGACAAAAGGGAGGGGCAGTTTTCCACTGAATGGTACAGATAGTGTTGTGCAATGTAGGTTAGGATCTCTGCACCCAGAGGAAACTCATACCATTTTTGCCTTTGGTGGGAAAACTTAGTCCTATTTGTTTTGGTCTGGAGGCAGAAGTCTAAATTAAGCCTCTCTGTGCTGCAGGGTTTGCCTTGAACTTCCCCTAAATATGAGGTAGCGTGAATTGAAGGTAGATTAAATAAACTGATAGCTTCAGATTAATTTCTGGGTTTAGGCATCCTTTTTTCTTCTGTGAGAGAATTACCTCCTTGTCTGCTTTCTTAGAAAATATCGGTGACTTCTTCAGTGAGAGCAGATATTAATGGCAAATGAATCTTTTTATTTTATTTTAATAATGTTATAGCTGGTCCTAATCTCAAAAATATCCATCTTTGAAAAATTAAAAGCATTCATAAGGAGTATTCATGACAACTGATCTTTAATCTACTTTTCATTCCCTCAGCAGCTGATGATAAACTTTGTATCACATATAAAGTTTTTCGAAGTTGAAAATCTAGGCCAAACTTGCTTCTCAGATGATTTAATGGTAAGTGTTGAGATGAATGATTCTATTATCTTTAATGTTTGCATTTTAATGAATTTTTTTTCAGATGTGATTTAATGACAAGATGCTGGGCCCAAGAACCTCACAACAGACCTACTTTCTCTTACATTCAGGACAAACTGCAAGAGATAAGACACTCTCCACTGTCCTTCATCTACTACCTTGAAGACAAAGAGGCAGCAACTGGAGTCATCAACCAAGCTTTTGAGGGTGAGTCTGGCCCAGTACCTGCTCTCCCTATGGCCTCTTTCCTGTGAAAAAAAGTGGGATTTAACAGTTCTTTTCATTGCATTTGTCGCTGCCTTAGATTCTCTGCCTGTAAAATGGAAACAGCAAAGATCTACCTCTCTCATAATGAACTTGTAAAGATTCATTAGGTGCCATTAGGTACGATGCATTAGATAAAGCACACATAAGGTTACCAAGCAAAAAGATCCCTATGAGGTTGTAGCTAAGCCTGCCTCACAGAGACATGCAGCTTGCACCTAAATTTTTGATACTTCATGACCCTGTTCCGCTAAAGTAAATGCTTAAGTTCCTTGTACAGCTGGGAGAGCTTTAGAAGTGTTCGAGGCGGAAATCTGTTCCAATTACAAAGGCATCTATTCCCTCTCCATCAACTAAACATGGCAGTTAGGCACTTACTTACTTAATTTAGGAATACTGATTCAGTAGTTGCCTGAAAGTGAGGCATAAAGTAGGTAGCGAAGTAAGGCAGATTTCATCCTAGCCTGAACTGTGATAGCTCACAGGAGTCACATCACGCCTGTGCTCTGCACACTGTGAATGAATGAAACTAGGTGATGTTAAGGAAGATATACTTAAGACATGGGACACAACAGAGCCCAGTTATATAAGAACATTATTAAGGTTTTGGAGACAGGAATTAAAACCAACAGGCAACGCTAAATTTGACGTTGTCTGTGCAACTGTGATTCAAATCGTCTAAACATGGAAATGAATATCCTGACTGGGCCTGAACAAGAAGCTTTTCACACCCTGCAGTAATTCCTCACTTGAGATATTCCTAAATTTTGAGAAAAAATGAAGTCTTAGTAAACAATGTGACCTGAAAAATCTGCGAAATGGAAGTTTTTGTCAGTTGAAATATTTCACTTTTATTTCACAGAGGGGTGGGGTTTTTTTTTAATTTAACCTATTTGCATTCTATGGTTTTCTAATGAAAAATACTTCCTGTTAGAAGAATTAGTTTCCATTCTAAAAAAGCAAAACCTAGTTGTTTCTAAAATATCTAAAATATTTATTGGGGTTTTCTTCCTTCACAAAACGTTGTTGAACTAGGAACTCACCCAGCTTAATAAACAGTTTTGATACACCAATATTTTGTGATTTCCTAAAAACTTCCTGATCCATTCCAGGAATGATGCAATACTCAATTATACAACTACGTAGTCATTTTTCTACAGGATTTGACCTATATTCAATTCACTGGCATAGTCCAATGCTCAGTTAATGACAGTCTATTTGATATTTTGCTAATCTTTATCATTTGGTGTAGCTTTACAAATGTCAGTTTATCCCCATCGTGACTTCTCTCTCTGTCAGATCCAATCTGTGCATGACATGTTTATATGTCATTACAAAACTAAAGACTTTATCAAGACATGGTGGGACCAAAGTAAGCCAGAACTGATAACTTGTCATTTCTTGCTTTTTAAACAGCTGCTTTTGAACCCTTATGCTATAATGAAAAGCTTTGTGTATTAGCATGTAGTGTAATTTCATAGTTTCTTTAAGGGCATCTTTGCTCTGAGTAGTGGAGTTCAGGAAAGAGATACTTAATCTGGCACAAATCTAAGGCTGGCATTAGCTCAGGAAAAGTGTACAGCCAATTAATTAGGCACTATGCCCAAGATAATAGGCCTTATATTTTGGATGGACTTTATCTCACCTAAATGTAGCTGTCTAGAAGCTTGGAGTCTCATGTAAGATACTCTTCTAGACCTCTCTGTGGTCAGGAGCAGAAACAGACATCTCCAGAGAGTGATAACTCCTATGTCTTAGGCATGTATCATAGCATGAAAGGGGTCGCCTTTTGCCTTTCTGTCCACTGATGATGGCTAGAATCTAGGTGACTTGCCATATTCAACTTGGTTACAGCATCTTGGACTAGATGTTTAATTTTCAGATGGCTACAGGAACACAACATCCACTGTACACGGGCTGTACTGATTCAACTGCTTGCATCTACCCCTGAGCTAGTGTGGTTTCCTAGCTTAGACATCTTTCCTCTGCGTTCCCTAACTCTGTGGGCAAGAGAGACATGAAAACTAAGGGAGTTAAGAAATTCTTGTGGCATTACATCAATATCTGTTAAAATCTTTAGTAGGGCTGAAACTTTTAAATACAAGCCTGTCCTTCTGCTGCTTGGAGTTAGGGAAAGAGGGTGGAATATAGGTTGTCGTCCTTTTGGTGGAGCAGGCCTGGCACAGATGTAACATGCAAAGGTTTTAGTTTCAGTGCAAGTCTTTGCTTAGCATGTGCCAGCTAAGCATGATCTTTCCCCTGCTGTTAACTTACTCAATCTAAGCAAATCATTACTTTCACTGGGATGACAAATACATATTTTTAACTTAAAATACATTATTTTGCCAATATTTCAGGTTCTGCCACACAGCAGAGGTCACAGAGAAAAAGTCATTGTTTTATTTGTTTGTCAGGGACAAAAGTAACATTCTTAGAAGTGGCCAAGTTATTGAAAAAGAAAATATGGATTGGGGCTTCCATGAAAAGTTTCAGTTAGAATGGTTAAAATTTGAAAAAACAGTTTACTCCAGAAAATGTGGTTGTATAATGCATTTTTAGGATAGTCTTAGTAATAGTGGTATTCCATAATGTATGTTATATTCAGGGAATCTGTTGGCAGCAGTCACTTTTTAAATCAGACTCCATTAAGTCTGTTTATAATAACCTAGTTGGTAAAATCTGTCCCACTATGGTAAGCAGGGCAATTCAGGCAGAGCTTTGGCAATACCTCTTGGAGGTATGTGCCAAGTCCATTTTGCTTGGCACACTCTGTCCCTGACCCTTTTCCCCACCAGCTGCCCTGTTCCCTCTTGTGGCTTCCCCCCATTCTTCCCTTTCCATAGGCTCTGCCCATCTGTTGTTGCCACAGACGCATTGTTGGATCTGCATTGGAAAGGGAAGACAAAGCAGCTGTTTTCATGCTTTCGTTCAATGTTTTCATGTTTCAGTTCTCAAAACTCCTCCTTAACTTCTTCTCAGGCTCATTCAGTGATTTTCATACAGGGAATGCCCATCAGGAAACAGTATACCTTGAATTTTATTCATCTATGTATCATCCTTTCATTAAAATGTATTTCAAAAGACTAAACACTTGGTAAGTTCTTTACATGTCTCTATAATGCATGTACTTATTTCCCCATATATTCATAGTTTGTCTGTAGGTTATCTCCCTCTTTCCCCCAGTACAGTCTTTATAATCCCATTAAAATGTTATGCTGCATCCTTGATTGAAGGCCTAGAGTCCTGGTGATGCCTTAATGTTGCTGTATTATCTGATCAGGGACACATGCAAGGCAGTTTTCTGTAGCTCTCCAGCCTTAAACTAGTTCAACAGTTTTTCTGCCTGTGATGTATATCTTGTGCAGTGGAGTTCAGTGAAATGTGGGCTCCAGAAATGTGATTGATTTAAGCAAGAACCAGCAATTTGAGTTCTAGTTGAGCTTCCAGAGTAAAATACATGCTGCATTATGACCCTGTCATAAACAGTTTGCGGCATGGAATATGTCTCAGTCTGTGATTTGTAAAACACTATATAATAAGTAAATGATTTTTTAAATTTGCATTCATTTTTAGCTGAGATTAAGTGAAGTACTTCTTGTGTTTGTAGTAGTAGTGGAAAGGTGACAACCAAAACAAATAATCCAAAAAACTGTTCCATGATGGATTGTGCTGGACAACATTTTCCAAAAATGTTACGCGGTCATTGGCCTTTGTGTGTAATGAAACTCCTGTCATGAGCCTCCCGCCAAGAAATGCTTGCTCTCACCAGGAGACTTTGTTCCAAAAGAAAGAGCCAAATGTCAAGCAAAGTGAAATGACAGACCTCAAAATAACTATGATACTTAGCCCTACATGGAATCATACTTTTTCCAAATTCTATTGAGCCTTACCTACTTGTAGGTAACCACACCTTTAGCAGATCCATACATGCTGTCGGTGCTATTTCATAGGTGGGAGAGCTGGAAAACATTAGATTTTTGCAACAACATTAATGCCAGTGCAGTATGACACATGGACTGCAAGTGTGGGTGAATTGATACAGGCAGTATGTTAGTGGTCTGGACAGCACACTAACAGGATAGCATGGGGATGGCAAACGGGACACTGCGTTTGTTATTGCAATAGTTACCCTTCTAAAGGAGGCATCAAGTGGCAATAAATATGCCTGAGCAGTACCAGCAGCTCCTGGCACTGCTTCTTCGGAAGGGAGGGAAGCAAACTCAGGACCAGGAACGGGCCTACCACTTGAGTTTTTCCTTCTTGCTTTTACAAGCTTTCCCAGGACATTGATCATGGGCATTAAGTAGCATTAACAACATTTTTTTGAGTGAGGGAAGCACTGTCCAGCTGGAGGACTGAGACACCAGTGGGTGTCGAATACAATGGGAACTGACTGAGCAGAAGCCCTGTCACCAGAGTCCCCATTCATTACTGAAAGATAGGCTGCTCTTTCCCCAGTTTCAAGTGCAAATGAAATGTCATGAATCAGCATGCTAACAGGATGGCCCTGCATTGCTGTAAAAATAACCAGTCCATCTATTTTCAGACATAACTTTTTACATTTGCACATACAAGACAGCACTATATTTTTTCAGGTCCCAAGTGTGCCCCGTAAAGGGATGGAAACACCTGTTTGTTTTGGCAAACGTCTTTGCCGACATCAGACAACTGGGCATTAAGCAGCTGGAGCAGCTCCTTGCCTTTATGACCCAGAAGGACTATTCTTATCAGGGCTGCTCCCCACAATCCCTTTTGGACCTACAAGGAAAAAATGTCTAATTGCTCAGAAGCTGTGTCAGAGCACCACGTTCTTACTATTAGAAGTGGCTCCCCTGGCCAGAGGAGATGCAGGGCAGTTGGAGGAAGCCCAAGGAAATCCAGGGTAAATGACTAAAGACTAAAAGGAAACACATTTGGCCTCAAAACCATTATTTTTAAATCCC